CCCGGTTTGTTGCACGTTCTTTTTTAATATGAAATAATCAAATATGGGACATATGTATAATAACAGAACCCCACACCCTCCCCGTGGCTTCGCTCGTGAAAGTACGGCAGCAGGATACACCGCATCACTCGTGAAAATAACTTCCATATGCAATGAAAGCCACAGGGAGGGTATCTGTCATAATACTTCATTATCACTGAAAACATTTTTCCCCTGAAATAAATTCCAGTGAATATGCCATTTCCCTCATACTCTATTGAGACACAACGCAGTGAAAATTGGATTCACATGTAATGCTTGAAAACATGTCAGCAAAAATAAATTAAGTGAAATTCTACGTGACTTCATAATAGTTGGAAATGAACACATTACACCCGACCCTACCACTCCATGTACAATGTAAACTCCACCCCAAAACATTCTTTCACCCACAGTTACTACCGTGTTTCACCAGTGTATTCTATTTGACGTCAGGAGAAATTGAAATAAACAAATTAATTATAAGTTCAGCCTCTAGTTGACCACTGATTAAATAAACTACCTCGTCTTTATGTCAACTTGCAGTTATTCGTTACCTACATCAGTGACTTCAAAATATATGTTTCAATCCCAGGAATTTCACTCGCTGTTAATTGCATGGGAGTGCCAGTCTTTAATGAATTTCTATTGTCATGTCAATTTCTTACGATTACTCAGAACATTAAGCTGTAACTACATACCGCCTAGGTGCTGTAATTAAATCCTGGTGTAAGCACCATATGAACTATGAACAATGCATGTGAAGCCAGCTGTGGGGTATATTCAATATTATAGATTTCTCATTGTTTGGTAACTATTTGCTGCAAATGCAACAAAAATCAATATAAAAAATATTACCCACACAGCATTCTACAGGTTACTTGTAACAAATTAAATTGCGTGAGAGAATTCTTTATAATTCAATGTACTTTGATCTATATCGATTACATTACATTGTCAGCTGGCATTGTTGGCACTTTGTTTAATGTTTGGTTGATTTTACAAATGTGTATGTTGCATATCTTTGTGTAATTTATTTGAATGTGTATGAACTGGTTTAAATAATAGTTCTAGTTAACAAATGACCATGCACACAACAGCTCGTTATTTAGACCAGTTCATACACATTCAAATAATAAGTACATTTTGGCGGTGTTATATTCTGGAACTTGAGGTGCAGATTAAGCTAAAGTACATATATGTAATGATGCTTACCACATTTTTTGTTTTTTTCTACTGATTCCATCGTCTTGTTCCTTTCTTTTCATAGACACACCAGAAGTGCTCGGTTCCTCTGATGCCGAAGCCTGCATACCTGTGAATAACAAGTCATTGTTGAGTCTACATTACACAAGTCACTGGAATAAAGCACTATGATATAAAGTATTATATCTATCACTACACATATCCTTTGGATAGGGTGGTAAGTAGCAATGGTGAGGAAATAAAAAACACTACTGAACTAATAAATACCACTACCATAATAAAGATACTTGTTTCGAGAATAATATACAGCAACAAAAAGAAGTATCACAGACAGTGGTGAAATATGTTTTCACACCTATTTGGAAAGGAATACATGTTAGTCACAGTATAAAGATGATTGGTTGAATATGCATGCAAGTACCGTATTTATCCGGGTAAGAGCCCAGGATCATGAACATGGAAAATTGCCAAAAATAGGGTGGGCCTATGCAAAAAAATTCACGAAAATTGACAACATGCAGATCGAACTGAGGCAGGGAATAGAACGGCAAATGAAAACATGCAACAGAAATAAATGAACAATATGCAACATTGGAAGTAAAACAAAAACAAGCCATGCATGGCACAGTTCCCGTTAGTTATCAAATTTAAGATATATAGTTTTGTTTACAGTAATATAGCTGGAATAGAACCATGTCAGTAAAATGATTGACATTTGTATCTGATCATCAAACAAGAACTTGTCCATATTGAGAGATATTGCTATGGAACAGCATTCAAAATCAGCCATTTTGAATACATGTATATATATAACATGATGTATAACGAATATAATCAGTCAAAGCATTTAAGAGATATGGCTCCAGAAGCCCAATCATTAAAACAAAATGGCCGCCAGTCAGCCATTTTGAATCCAATCTGAAAAATACAAGCCATGCATGGCACAGTCCCCGTTAGTTATCAAATTTAAGATATATAGTTTTGTTTATACATGTAGTAATATAGCTGGAATATAACCATGTCAGGAATATGATTTTTTTAATATTAAAATGATTGACATTTGTATCGGATCGTCAAACAAGTACTTGTCTATATTGAGAGATATTGCACTGGAACAGCATTCAAAATCAGCCATTTTGAATACATGTATATATATATAACATGATGTAAAATGAATATAAAAAATTTGAATATAATCAGTCAAAGCATTTAAAAGATATGGCTCTATAAGCCCAATCATTAAAACAAAATGGCCGCCAGTCAGCCATTTTGAATCCAATCTGAAAAATAAAATGACGCGCATCAGGAACCTGTAATGTCTAATGTATGTTATCAGTTTGAACAAAATCCATCCATAAATGCAAAAAATGCTTTATATTTGAGGATTTTTTTAGCACAAAAATAGCCACCATTTGGCAACTTTGAAAAGGATCGTCTAACCAATATATCCGTATATCTAATGAATATTAAAAATTTGAACATAATCAGTCAAAACAAGTCAGACATATGGATCTAGAAGATGATGTGCATCAGAAACCTGTAATGTCTAATATATGTACCAAGTTTGAACGAAATCCATCCATAAATGCCAGAAACGCTTGATATTTGATGATTTGTTAGCACAAAATAAATAGTAAATTTATTCATAATACTGTAGGCCTCTGGCCTGAAGGTACACTCATTGTAATTATCAACATGTTACAAAGGACAATGTCATTTTACAGTGACTGAAAAAGAACAAGAAAATATGAAAAGAACATGAACTGTCAGACCAAAATAATTGTATTACGTTTTTTTGTGGCGAGAAAAATAAATTTAGAAATATTACGCAAGATTACTGCATTTTGTAATTGTAATAAGCGATATAAATTTTTCGGGTGGGCGAAGTGTATAATAATAACTTGGGATGTATTTAGATCTCAACTCTTGCAAAAATGGTACTTGTCCTCTACACAATTGGTATTACATAAAATACAAACTCTTTCTGCTGTGCGTGTATTATGGAATTTTCTATCAGTTTCAATACGTAGACAATGGGCAGAAATTCTTAGGCGACACAATGCTTCCCTGTAACAGTCTTTTTGGACTGTTTTAAAATAATTCTCTTGACTAAATATATATTTAAATTTTCTATAAAAGCACAGCTTCGGAAATAGCTCGAGTCCACTTTGCCAATTTTGAATATTAATGTCCAAGCATCGCTGTTTGAAAATCTTAACAAAGTATTCAGAGTTTCCCACCCCTTGGTTGTACCATGCCTCACCCAGACCACAAGAAAGAAGTAACATTTTTAAATTCAGGGCCTAACACTTTTTACCCTTTTCTGCTTCATGGTACTGAAACATGTAACATAAATATACCAGTCTGTGACGGGGTAATGATAAAATGCGAAGCCAGTACTAATAATCCTAAACGTTAGCACAAAATTAAGCAGAGGGTTCTCCGAACCCGTCTATTCACATACTGTGGAATACTTTATTTTCGCTGGAATTAATTTTCGCTGAAAAGGCTTTTTGGGTGTTTTGTGTGGAATTTATTTTCACTGATTTTTGATGAGTTTAATGTAAAATATAGGAAAAAAAGTATATTCGCTGGATTTTATTTTCACGGAAACATTCCTTCAGCGAAAATAGCGAAAATAAATTCCAAGCGAAAATAAAGTATTCTACAGTAGTTCATACCCACCATAGACTCCGGTCAGTCAAAATGACTATTTCGAACTGTAGGCATTAATCAGCGATTCTGCCCTTGACGGAGAGATAGAATCTATGTCAGGGGAAGCCCCATGACCCCAAGATTCTTTTACCCTTACGTCACGAACCCACGTGACCGAGGCCATATGGCTCCTTTCTCTTCGCCTCGAGGACTTATTCCAACGCTACGGAAAGAGTGGGGTGGTTGGGGGGGGGGACCGGGAGTCTATGGTGGGTATGAACTATGTGAATAGGCGGGTTCGGAAAACCCTCTCCCTTAATTCACTACATTCAACAAGCAGCCTATCGGCTGAGATAGCTCCGCTGTTAGCAATGCACATTTCAATTAAAGAACTGAAGACATCTTAGAAAATGAACAATATGAATAGTATCAAAGCAATCGGACTTACAGTTTTAACAAGAAGTCGAAAATATCACTTTTTACCAAAAATGACAAAAATATTCACCAAAATTAGAGAATTAAAGA